GAATGAAATGAGAGAACCTTTTTGAATAAAGGTCAACTAAATCAATTTTGACTGTCAAAGTCAAACACCCAAAAATATGATTTCGGAAAAAGTATTACAAATAATCATGAAAATTATTTCAAAGGATAGAGTTTAACTGTCTGATCGCAACGGTGCAAACGGATTTCAATTTGGAGAAAGTAGGACCAAAAAGTGTACCTTGACTATCCTATAACCAAAATTGGTCCCAATCACGGAATGGCGTACGAAATCAGAACATATTGCAGCCAATTCCACTACGCCGAACGAAGGATCACAAACAGCAACCCACATTGTCATCTTCTCTAGTTTCTTCACTATATAAAGCATCCCTCTTCTCCTTCATTTCTCCACCAATTCATGAAATTCTTCCTTCTAATATGTTCTTCTGAGTGTGGAGATTTCAATGATGCTGTCAATTTGGTGAAAAGTCGCCGGAGCAAGCCATGGTGTTCGCCGGAAGTTTCGCTGTTAAATTGCTGGAATCATCATTTAACTTCAAAGTAAGCCCATAGATATATCTAATGACTAGAATGTTCATATAGGTCGTTTTAATGTTCATATATGGTCATTTGCTTGAGTTTTGTGTTTGACATGCTTGAAGAACTAAGAATCACATACCATGATTTTGATGTTAAAACTATGAATCAATGATGCCAAAATGATCTATGAACCTTGGAGAACACTTTTATATACTCCCTCCGTCCCTGAGTGTTTGTGCACTTTCATTTTTGCACACCATCCAATGCACTTTTTTAATCCATTTTATCTTGTAATTTGTATATTAAAAAATTATAAAAATTATATATTAATAATCTATATGTTAAGACGAATCAAACAAGATCACACATGACTATTTTTAGGCTTACACATTGAGAGAATTTGATGAGTCAAAGTGCTTAGATGAACAGTTCCAAAAGTCAAAAGTGGACAAACACTCAGGGACGGACGAAGTACTTTAATTGAAGTTTGGTGAGTAAAAATGACATTTCCATAAGTTGGCTAGAGGTAGAAGACGATGGATAATCGATTATTAATTTAAAAATTGATTATTCATCGTTCTACAGATTTTTGGAACACAACAGAGCAACAGTCGATTGTCAGAATGTGACAATCTACTGTCAGGCCTCTCTGAAGTTGAATTGGAAGCTGATAATCGACTATTAGAATGTGATGATCGACTATCAGCTCATTCTGAACATTAGATAGTAGATTATCAGAAGTGATAATAGACTATCTCCCTACCCTGCTGAAGAAAATGAAGCTAGTAGCTAATAATTAAATTTCCTATCATATATTAATCAATTATTGTTTAGAAAAGATTATTTTTGAACTAAGGAATCCTATTTTTTATACCAATTAATTATGAACAATATAAATATGATTTGGTACAATAAAAATGATGTTTTTTGGCATATAAAACATTATGATGCATGACGGTAAGTGCGGGTGTTAACTCTATAGACTAGGCCGATGTTTGTTATTAAATGTTATGTTGAATGATCATTATGATGAATAATTATTATGGATAGTTATGAATGATAAACCTACTGATTAGAATGAATATTGATGATTAAATCATGATTAAAAATGAATATAATGGTGATCATGAAAATGGTGTATATTGTTATGGATATCTAGAACTCTAAGATATATCCACTTGTATATTGATGATGATTATTAAGGATATCTAGAAGAACTTTAAGATATATCCACTTGTATATTGATGATTATTAAGGATATCTAGAAGAACTCTAAAATATACCACCTTGACCAATTCATAATTCGGGGTTAAAATGTACGTACAAGATCCAGAATAGATATCACCCACCCGACAGTTCACTATTCGGTTTGGTACATAATCCACATGACTCATAGGGTGGATTATCGATTCTTGTGTTTTGCCTTAGACTATGTATACTTTAAGATCCTGGTTAGAGCCTTAGACTAGGATTAGCTAAGAGCTTGTTACAAATGATTTGGCCTTAGATTAAAAATAATTTAAGAGCATAGTTGAGATGTTGATTATTGAAATGACTTGGAATAAAATATTGAGAACATCATGAATTATGGAATATATTTTTTGTGCATGATATCAAATGGTTGATTGTGAATTGAGATTCAATTTATGTTGATGTTTGACGCTTTAGATATGCTTACTCAGCTTTATCGCTGAGTGTGCAGTGTGTTTTATTTGCTACACGCAGGTAGACAGAATGAATTATTGGAATATCCCTGGGAGCGGAAGGGGCGAGACAGTTGTGGTGGATTTATTGATAAAATAAATAATTATGTTTGTTATGAGACATGTTTAAAAGTCGTTTCCGCATATTATTAAACACTCCGTATTTCCTACAGTTATGTATGAAATTTTATTGTGATGAATAAAGTTATTTGAAATTTTTTAAATTATACGAATACCAAGTTAATACTTTAGTCTGAAAGAGGTTGCAGACCTGGACAAATTAGGGTGCTATAGTGATAGCGTCTTACAATGTGCTTAGTTTTCTGGTGAGACCGTGGTTCTTTAGCTTGTGCGACGTCCATAGTGTTATCGCAATACAAGGTGATGGGGTCTCGTCTACTTGGAACCACTCTTAGTTCCGAGAGGAAATTCTTTATCCAAACACTTTCTTTTGCTACTTCAGAAGCTGCCATCTACTCTGCTTCTGTAGTAGAATCTGTGATACTGTCTTGCTTCTAGCTCTTCAGCTTACAGCTCCGCCGTTAAGACAATAAACATAACCTACCTGTGACTTAAAGTCATCCCTGCCCGTTTGGAAGCCTTGCATCAGTGTAACCAGTTACTCTGAGCTCTTCATGTTGGCCATAGACAAAGAAGGCATCCTTAGTTCTTCGTAAGTACTTAAGGATGGTCTTCACAACCATCCAATGACTGTCACCAGGAATGAATCGGTATCTACTTGTGATACTAAGTGCATAGGCGACGTCAGGTCTCGTACATATCATGGCATACATGATCGATCCCATGGCAGATGCATATGGAACATTTTCCATGTGTTTCTTTTCTTCCTCTGTTGAAGGTCCTGGAGTCTTGGAAAGACTAACTCCATGGATCACTGGCAAGTTCCCTCTCTTAGATTCTTCTATTTAAAATTGTTTGAGAATCTTGTCAATTTATGTACTTTGATTTAAGCCAATCAGGTTCCTAGATCTATCCCTATAGATCCTGATTCCAAGAGCATAGCTTACATCACCCAAGTCTTTCATGGAGAAGTTTTTCCATACCTAGCCCAGTCTTTACAAATGATAGAGTACGAACAACATTCCCCATTAATAATATGTCGGCTACATATAAAGCAAGGAAGACTATGGATGGTACTCCCACTAGTCTTCTTCTATACACAAGATTCATCTTCATTCCTTTGAAAACCATAACCAGTTATAATGCCACAAATTATATTTTGCCACAAAAGATGGTGTCTAGTAACAAAATTTAATCGCTACAATTGTCACTTTATTGCCGCAAATTAAATTTTCTAAAAATTATTATTATTATTATTATTATTATTATTATTATTATTATTATTATTATTATTATTATTATTATTATTATTATTATTATTATTATTATAAATACTATAACTATTTTTATTGTATTTACCTTTTACGTTTAATAATATATTTGATGTGGAAAACAATAATAACTATTACAAAATTCCACATTACTAGTAAGCATTTATAAAGTAGAAGTCATATGTTCGAATAAAAATCAAAATATGTGTTACCCACATTTCTAAACAATCAAAGATTCACAATATTTTTTTTAGGGGATCAAAGGTTCACAATGTTAATATAATAGGATTTTGAAATAAAAAAATATAGTGCTAAACATTTTTTTATGACAAGAGTATTCTAAAATCTTCCTCTAATATTCATCTAAGCTTCATCTCTTCATTTCATGTTGTCACTTCTATCTTGATTGTAATTCCCGACCAAAAAGAAAAATGAATGGTATTTTGCATATTCAGCCTTGATCTGTAAATGAAAAAAACAAAAGTAATTAAAAAAATCAATCAGTAAATAAAAATGTTAAAGAGACAAACAATTAATTAAGAAACTAGTAGTACAATGTTTTCTTATATGCCTTTATTTGAATGTATGAAAAATATTAAGAAGTTGTCATTCATTAGTATCATGAGCAACATCATCATCTATCCTAGTGTGATGAACTATTTAGAAAATTTACTCTAAAATAATACTCCCTCCGTCCCAAAAAGTTTGTTACGTTTAGAAAAAACTGCGTCCCGTAAAGTTCGTTACATTTCTATTAAAAAACCACTTTTACCCCTTACTTTTTTATACCCTACTTATCGCATCATACCTTTTTCCTAATAAGCTACCCATCACATCAAGGATATTTTTGGAAAGTTAATACCAAAATATCCCTCCCTTAATTTTCCAAAAAGTCAAACCGTCCCATTCTTTTTGGGACGGAGGGAGTATAAGCATGTCACATTTTTCTTTTAAAAAACTTTTTATACGGAGTATATTTTATACGGTTGGGTTCACATCGGAAAACGGTGCCACTACGTTTTTGGGACACCTCCGGTGCTCCGTTCGTAAAATTGACGGTTCCTACCCCTTAAACTCCTCACCCCATCCCCACCCCTGCACCCCCACCCCGCCGTAAGCCCCCCACAAAATGTGTGGCTATTATGCATATTGCATAATAGCCACACATTTTGTACATGGAATTGATGGAATTGGAATTGTTATACCCGAGCCTAGCCCCATGAAACTCTCACTCACGCCTTACACTATCATAAGAACCAAAGGACTTATATTCAAATATTATGATCCATTTTAGTTGAATTCAAATGGTCCTTAAACCCGAAAGGCCAAGACAACCTCTGTTTGACCCGAGGGTTCTGTGGTCTACTCCCATTTCAGTCCAAACCATCCCAAAACATCCAAAATATTTCCTTTTCAAAATAAAGTTTTTCCTACTCTTATTTTAGTCATGGCCGAAAATAAGAGTGTATAAACCAAAACCTTTTTGTTTGTTGTTATTTTCCTTCTTTTAAGCCTTTTAATAAACCAGTAAAACCCTCTCTTCCTTCCTTTCATTCCCTGCCCAAATAAACCTCACAATCCCAACACAACACCCACAAAGAGCCAAAACCATGACCCACCTCCAGCCCCTACTTCCTGCCCATGTTTTCCCTCACAGTAACCCAAAGCCATAACTCCAAAATACCCATAAATAATACCCAGCCCTGTCCC